AATCTTGATAACTGGCAGTCTTTGAGGCAGAAAGTTGGATGGGCATCACCAATCCTCATTCTCAACTCAAACAACAAAACCACTGTTAGCATTAGGATCATGTTGATTTTTGATTTTTGAAAAAGTATACTTTTGTACTCAATGGTGTCAAAAATACTGTTAGCTATAATTTTACTTCAATCTTTTTGCTACTCAAATAATATGAAGCTATCTGTACATAAAACTATGAATGGTATGAAACCTAGCAATACTTTTACATTAAAGGTTTTAAAAAAAAAACAACAGCTGTTCTAACTCTCAAAAAAGTGAATTTTGTGTAGGTTTATCTAAATTTCATTCTTTGAGAAGAATGTAATTTGAAACTGGACACATTTACAAAGTAAAAATTTGAGTTTCCTTGGTAAATTTGTTCCTAACTAAAAAAAAAAAAAAAAAAAAAAAAAAAAGACTCGAGAGATCAGTCATTGGAGCTCACTAGAGGGCAAGAACTTGGTTCCAGCAGGAAAACCATTTCATATACCTGCAAGTATTTGATGAGAACTGAACCTCTGTGTCTAGGTTCATCTAGCTGTCAAGCAGAGATAATAGTAGCGATATCTTTGGTGGGAAGTAAGCACACTCTTTGACATCTCTGGCTGAAGATACTATATCAACACAAATTATTATTAGAACATAATGAAATATATGCACATGAAACATCAGCATGGTGCTCTTTAAATTCTTATATAACATCTATAAATACTGCTCTTTCACGCTTTCATTTAGGTGAGGAATGTAATCATAGCAAGCTACAATTCCTTTTCCAAATAGAGAGGAAATACATTTTTTAAAATTTCAGATCATTCTTTTGAGAAGTGCTAAACCTGTTAATTTTCACAATAGCCCCATAGCAAGCCTCTGGTGCCTTTTTAAATGTTGGCTAAATTACTTCTCATGGAGACTGAAACTGTCAGGGAAACGCTGGGGTGATAAAATTGGCTAGTGATATTAAAATTTTGGTTGTTTAACATTTAACTTAGTCTCAACAACGTGTTAAAGTGCTATCTAAACAGCTAATTAGCTAGTTGTGCAGTGGGCTGTCTTAATTTAGCAGTGAAAATAGGTTCGGGGAATGTGAAAATAGAAAAAGAAATTTTCTCTAGGGAAACAGTGGTGTCAGCACAGCTGAGGAATGTCACAATAGCTACATTTCGTCAATTATGATCATCATCAGGGGATCTCCTGGAGCAACGCCGGGCAAGATTTATTCCTAAGTGCATCGTGAGGATAGGTAACAGAAAGTGGCTTCAGGAGAAAGGTTTAGAGGGGTTGACAGAGTCAGGCAGCAAGTACAGGAAGGAAAAGAGGGTCTAAACCCAGAGGTGAAAGGCGGGGCAGGAGGTGGAAGTTAAAAGAGGCAAGGATTGGGTAAAATGATCTGTAGTCCTGGAGATGAAGAATACATTTTGAGGCAGTGGGCTGATGGCGGGGAGACCTTAGTGACTGAGAGGAGAGGACAGTGTGGTTTGGGCTGCGGGTAAGCTTTAGTTTAGCAAGGACAGGATCCTCTCTGCGTGGATGTTCCCTGTTTTAATGTAATATACATCGGTGGCTCTATGGTGAGAGGGCAGGACCAGCATAAAATTAACGGTTGTCAGACCTTAGGACTAGTGTCTTCTGTCTTCACCCCTCCTCCACCCCCCGCGGACGTCCGAACTGTCCGTCCTTCTCCCCCGCAGAACCGCGGGGGGCTGGGGCTTCAAGGTCAAGCCACCTGGGCTATGCTGGGCGGGTGAAGAGGGCTGGGAGGACCGAGGGTCACGGCGGACCGAAGACACGCCGCTCACGGACAAATGCTTGAATACTCCCCAGGGTCACTCTTCTGCGATTAGTTCAAAGGAAAACAAGCAGGAAAATACAATGACACGTGCGAACATGCAAATGACCAAAGAAAGACAAGACCGCACTCCAAGCCCTCGGACGGGGGAAAAGCCACGGGCTCCTGTTGCCAGCTGCCCGCAGGAAAGTGTACCCCGGCGGCCCAGAGAAGCCAGGGCGGGAGAGCAAACCTTCTGGGGTCCCGCTCCTCTCCCGGCTCCGCGGGCTCTTCCACCACGCCGCCTTCCCAGGGAAAGGAGCCCGAGAAACGCCGAGCCTGCGAGCCTCGGCGAGCAGACGGGGGCGGGGAGCGGGGCCGGGAGGTAGGGAGGCCAGCGGAGAGCAGCGCCAGCCGGGGCGCAGGGAGGAGGACAGAGTCTCCTTTCAGTCCCGCGCCACAGACACGAGCAGGGGACCGGTCGGTCCAGAAAGCCGCGTCCAGCTTCCGAGACAGGACCCTTTAGCGCGGGCCACGTCAGGGCAGCCTCATCCTGGGTCGAGCGCGCTTGTCCCGCTACCCTCTGCCTCTGTCTGCGCCGGGGCTGCGCGGACCCGCGAGGGGCGGAGTGGGCCAGACCATTGGAAAAGCTGGGGAGGGGGGAGACGAGGCGCGAACCAGGGGCGGGGCCGGGCCACCTCGTCCAGATTTTCCTGTGCTTTTGAAAGCGCTGCTTTGGGAGAAACCCCTTTATCAAAGTGGATAAAGAGGTTTTTTGTTTTTTGTTTTTTGGAAGGGGGAGGAGCGTACTTAGGAGGGCGGGGTGAAAGGAAACGCGGCTGGCACCCGGGGAACAGACCCGAGCCGGAGTTGCAGAGCTGGCTGGCGGGCGAGTCCCAGCGCCGC